AAGGGCAACCCCTTTAAAAAGATCATTAATTTTTGTAAAAGGGGTTTCCTTCCCCTCTTAGGTCACTTTTTAATTATGTAAATTTAAAATTTTTTTATTTATGATATAAGTTAAGGGTGTAAACCATTGAAATTGAAATTTCAAAATTTTAGATGTATCAAGTTTTGACCCATTTTTGGCAGACCAGAAAAATTTTTTTTTAATATAAATGTACAGTTTTTTTTCTTAAACTTAGAACTTCGCTTTACTACCGAGTCACGAATCTTCAAGTTGTTAAAAATGGGCTTTGTATGCTCTTTTACCACCACAACCACCCACCACCACCACAAACTGGTACAATAATGATTGATTTTGAGAAAGCGGTCATGAATGCGATTCAGAACAGTTTGCCAGGGTGGGAGATTAGCAATTGCTACTTCCATCTCTGTCAAGCTGTTCAGAGGAACATTTCGAAGAAGTTTAAAGTTTTATATTATTCTGATAAGAAGTTTGCTAGAGCCGCAAGGCTGGTTGTGTTTCTCGCCTTTGTCTCAGTTGCTGTATCTCCAGAGGTTCCTAGTTGTCGGGGATATGTCATGATTGGTTCCTAGTTGTCGGAGTTGATTGGATTTCCCAAGCTTGCATGTTTACTAACCGAGTCAAGAATCTTCAGTTGTTAAAAATGGGCTTTGTATGCTCTTTTACCACCACAACCACCACCACCACCACCAAGATTAGCCGTGAGCCCCAAACGGTAGATCGGCCTCCACGTGGCTTGGGGTGGGTGGTTTTTTAATGAATGAACTATAGGGTCCCAAAAAGAATAGACAGTCTAACCTAATCGTGATATCGTGATATGGTTTATCTAATGAACTCCTAAATTAGATCCAGTGTTAGCTGAATCTATAAATCCAGTGTTAGCTGAATCTATAAATTTTTTGGGACGCTATATTTCTATGTTTAAATACTAGCGAACGATGCCATATAATACAGTCAAACCTCAATTCACCGTGGTTTTGAGTAAATGAATAAAAGTGCCAAATTGGGGATTCTGTTAAATTGGGGCCTGGTTAATGGAGGTTTGATTGTATATTATACTATAATACCAACGTTATAGAACTGTACTGAACCGAATCGGTTTATGACCTTACTAATTATTTTATAATTTCTCAAATAGTGTAGTGTGTAGGTGTAGTGTAGTGTAGTGTAGTGTAGTGTAGTGTAGTGTAGTGTAGTGTAGTGTAGTGTAGTGTAGTGTAGTGTAGTGTAGTGTAGTGTAGTGTAGTGTAGTGTAGTGTAGTGTAGTGTAGTGTAGTGTTGTGTGATACAATGTTGGACACCAAGATAGCGTGTAATATCGAAGCTTATATATGTTCCTAGATGCCAAGCCGATATGGCCGATATAGGTACTCTTTGGGATATTCTATACATTAAATCCTTGATATACCGTGCTTGACAGGGGAAACGATAAATGTACTATTTACTTAAGTTTGCCTATGAACACGGCACACTGCACTGCATGATGAGATCATGAAAGTGGTATATCGAGGTACATATATTGTATGGCATATTCAATTGTTATATAATATATTGCTATATCCATGAATCAATTCAACCATATTGACAATTGTTAACAGTTGCAAAAGATAACCAATTACTTATAACTTAGCATGAGCGGAGAATGACTATAACCGGAAGAATACCACGTGGTGGGATGAACGACCACAACAATAACGAATAACACAGCTTATATGATCAGTCCAATATAATAACAGCAATTTGGCCGATTTTTGAGTATTTGAGCCGTAGAATATATGGCAGATTTTTGTTTATTAACATTGCATTATCTTCTTTGCCGTGTTAATAAAGGTTTGGTTATAATCTTTTAACTTCAGGTGGAAAATAAAAGTTGCATTAAATGTAAATTAGTTGTATAAAAGTATAAATTGAACAATCGCTGTTAATAAGTGGCATGGTTAGTGTTTGAGATTCAGCTTAGTTCGAGGAATGAAATTACAGTAATAGTGCACATAATATATATCATAGAGAGGACTTTAACGGTTATATTATGGCTTTAATATTATCTTTTTTTCACAGGAGTGTGGCATCCATTTAAGCCAGGAGGAAAAAGACTTGGTGACCGCACATTCGGAGCTTGAAAATACCAGCATTGGTCTTACGTTTCAATCCGAGATTGTTGAGGCATCATTGATCCAGTATTACAAAGAGGTAACCGTGCGATAACCGTGTAATCCACATTTATCGGATTTCTCTTAATTTCTTGACATATATTTTCGAGTTGTTAAATGTTGATTGTTGTATCTGTGGTCCAGGTCAATTATAAAAAATATAGTTTCAATATAATTACGTATGGTTAATGTTTTCAGGATCTTGAGATAGCAGATTTAAGACGCCATTATACCCTGGTGCGAACCGACGTCAGAAGTCGAAGACAGTAGTAGCACTTTGCAAACAGTGTTTTTTAAAAAGATTTCGAGAAACCAGTTTTGTAATAATCAGCAAGCGGCTGTGGAACTATTTGACTATTTTAAGTATTCATTTTAATTTAAGTAATTTAAATGGTACTCTACGTTCAAATCACCGATCTAAATTGTGATTTGGTTATCTTTAACCTTTGAGTGTGTTATTAAATCTACTATTAATTAATTTAAAATTGGTACTCCTAAAAAATCAATCCACTTTTAATATATAACGCAAACTAAATTCCTTTTAGCAGGGTTGGATTTTGAAATATATGTGTAATGTTCATGGAGGGCCAAGCGTGAGTTAGATACATAATTGGTACAATTATGGAGCATCGCGGCTCTAGGCAGCTCTGTTAAAACTGGATCAAAACCGACATTACGGCACGTATTGGCCTTACACAGAGGTATAATGAGACCTGAAGTGAGGTCAATACGTGCCGTAATGTCGGTTTTGAACAGAGTTGCCTAGAGCCGTGTTGCTCCCAAATCGTACCAATTATGTTATTTTTGACATATAGTCTGCAGCGCACCCAAAATGCACGGAGAAGTGTGTTTGTTTTGATATTCTGTTAAATACTATTTATGATTTATTTTGTCCTAATAATGAAGGTGTTGTTCATTCTAATCTAAGTTTAAAGGTGCTGTTATATCAAAAGTAAAATTGGTCAAATTAAATAGAATATATTTAAAAAAATATATATATATTGCGCTGATGTACCGTTTATTCGGGTAGTGAATGAACGATAACGCTCATGAAATTTATTGGGATCATAGAGTATGGCTGATGGTAACTAGTGTTATAGTTATCTCCCGATTAGCCGTGCTTGTCGGAGAAAGGGAGATGCATGCATGGTCTAATGTGAATTTCATGCGGTAAAAAACCACTGCGTATGATAAATCGGGAGGCACGGTAAATAGGTAGCAGAGATGACTCGTGACCGCAACATTAAACATATAAGGAATTTGCCATTTATAAATGTAATTTGCACTATTATAGTGCACTGCACGGGACCCCTCAGTTTCAGTTCCTTGTTTCACAGACCGTTCAGCAAGGACATTCACTGAGTTTATCGGGTTAATAAGCACTTTCCAAAATCTATAGTGCAAAATATATTTATAGCCATATTCCCACGTGTTATATGGCAATTTCTGATGCAGAATATGTAAAAGCGGTCAATATGGAACGCGCATACGTTTTAAAATCATTAACGTGGCGCAGCACGTACGTACATATAGGTGAGCCATCTCGGCCACGCGCAAAACAAAATCATTTTCATTTTCAAATTTGAAAATGGTTTTTTTTGCGCGTGGCCGAGATGGCTCACCTATATAAACGTACGTGCAAATCGTTTGCAAAATAAAAATCGTTTTCAAAATCAAAACCGTTTTCAAAATCAAAAACGTTTTCAAAATCAAAATCAATACCGTTCTCAAAATCAAAATCAATATCGTTTTCAAAATCAAAATCAATATCGTTTTTAAAATCAAAACCAATATCGTTTTTAAAATCAAAATCGATATCGTTTTTAAAGTCAAAATCGATATCGTTTTCAAAATGAAAATCAAAATTGAAATCAAAATCAAAATTTAAATCAAAATCAAAATCAAAATCGAAATCAAAACCGTTTTCAAAATGAGAATTGTTTTTAATTTCAATATGAAAATCGTTTTTTATTTAAATTTTAAAATAATTTTAGAAATCAAATTTAAAATCGTTTTTATTTTGTGATTAATTGTATAATTAATTTTTAAATTACAAATTTTCAGTGAAAATTTAGGTGAGCCATCTCGGCCGCCATAGACGTGCGCGCAAATTAAATTTGCAGAGAATGTACTCGCGCGTTCCATCTCATAACTGGTTCCTGGATCAAGGACATAAAATGATTGCCAAAAATTGATCCTTATAATATAGATTTAAAATATCAAAATCACGTAGTCCATTTAGAGAAACGTTGTTTGTCATTCTCAATCAATGAAGTCATTCCAATCTATAAACTGGTACATTATTGAGATTACCTCACTTTTGATTAACAGTTCTCGTTGAATCTCTTCACATTTCAAATGGTATACATGCTCGTTTGCTTGTAATATAAAGGGGACATCTACTTAGGGCGTCCGCCATAATTGCAGACTTTTTAGACCACCCCCTCCCCCTGTCCGGGTGTGTCCGAATTTACAAAACCACACCCAATCCCCCGGACGTCCGTATTTCCAGCTAATTTTAAAAGTACAGATAAAACCAACTCAAGTTCATTGAGTAATTAGTGTCAAATAGTGAATGGGACTTTTTCGTCAATTCTGCCAATATTTCCGGACTTACAGATTTTCAGAAACCACCCCCTCCCCCTGTCCGGATTTGCCCGAAATTCCAAAACCACCCCCCCCCCCTCCCTATTTGCCGGACGTAGATGGCCCCTAACGTGATTAACAGTTCTCGTTAATTAATGCCATAATGTCAGTAAAATGGTACGGATACATATATATCTATATACCAGATATCTATATCGTGTCGATTTATACATATATAGTAAGATATATATTAAAAATTTCAAATTTAGTTTTAACAAAAACACATTTACATTATATTTTAAACTTGACAAAATTCGCCCGGCAACGGGGAAGAAAAAACATTGAAAATCGACCAAAAACTGACCCTCTGGTAACACCAATTTCAGCTCACAAATGGAGTCAAAACCTCGCCATTTTCAGCAAGGTTTAAAAAGGGATAGGAATAGGATATAGCATTCTTAGAATTTTGATTAAAGCTTTAGATTTTCTATAATTAACGTCGGAAGTAAGGTAAAATATACGTTAGAATAATGGTGTTACTTTATCAAAGGTGTCATGCTTTATAAAACGTCATGATTAGCTCACATTTACGCTCAAGATTATTACTATTTATACCTTTGGTTGTGATTGATATCTTTTGATGCGGTAAAAAGTGTCGTTTAGGGAAACCGAATACTTACGACGTACATAACACTTCTTTCACTGGAAACGACTGACTATATTATAAATTCCTCTTGAAAACACTTCGACTGATTGATAGTTGGTTTTTTGAGGGCTAAATAAGGTTCAAGAATCAATAACTTTATAGAACATCTATATCTCGTAGATTGGTTTTTCCATGTTGTTCACCAGAGTTAGGATAGTACATCATATGATTATTCAATGCCTGAGATTTAAATTAAATTAATTGAATTAGAAAATAGAAAGTACTCTCCGAATTATCGACTAATCTAATAGCATATTAGCTGATCTTTATGTTTTTTTATATTAAATATCATCACTACACCGTATAAAATGACATTGATAACAATATAATAAAGATTGCAACTTACATATTCAAACTGGAAAGGGCGTTTTCGTGTCCTCTGTGCTGCAGTTTACCGACTACAGTCGCTGATACTATCCATAAAACTAAAACCTGTTAGTGCAATGACATTCTAGGATAAAATTAGGTTTGAATATCTTGAAAGATTGCTATGTCACATTAGATAAGCAAATATGTGCATTTTATATAATCATCTGTATTCTATTAGATACTACACATAAAATGTTATAATTTTCAGAATGTCAGAATAGCCGAAAGTTTTAAATATCAATTGACATAATATTATATTCGATTGAGGTGCCAAATTATGAATTTTGCTCAAGAAGTATCATGGCAGTAATAAATAATTATAGTAATTCCAATAAATGAGACTTCGAACATGATAAAATGATTAAAAAAGTTGTATTAATGTATGAAATTGTACAAAAGTAAAAGATTTACATACCGATAAGTTTTTAAATGATGACAGCTTCAACACTGCATTATAAGCCGCTTTTTACAATAAATGTGAATTGTGAAAATACATCAAGAGCTCACGTCTTATACATTGTAAGACCTATAAAATTGGTGCTTTAAATAGGCAGATTACCTCAATAGTCGATACATTACAATAATCAACAATAACGTATTTGCTATCATAAGCTCACTTCTAAAGCGATGCTTCTATTCGGATTAGCAGTTCTAATAGTCTGTCAATTTGCAGCTTCCAAAAATTATCAATTTATTTTATGCCGTTAATGAAAATAGCCATAGTATAAAATAAATAAACAACTCGCTTTCGTAAGCTAAACTAAAAAACAAAAATGCCTTAAAACATCAGCTTTTTAAAATTATAAACTAACAACAATAACAATTTATTATGGGCTGTTCATAAAAATTATTATAATAAACTACTCGCTTTCATGAGCTAATTTCTAAAAGAAATTTCTAAAAACAGCTAATAAAAACTATCAATTAACAGCAATTACAAGTTTATTTCTACGGTGTTTACCCCGAATAAACAAATGATCAATACACGGTGTTTCAAGACTCGTGTTCAAATTTGAAATAATAATTTTATATTTTACAAAAGAGCAAATTAAGTGAAATCGGTTTGGAAATGCTTGTTAGGTCTTACATTTAAGTTATTTCGTGTCGAAAACCATTTTTTCACAATTTTGAAATTTTGTTGTTAATAGTAAATTAGTAAATTATTAATTTCTGTGATTATTATAGACGTTACTAAAACAACCAACCTTCCCCAAACACAAATCCTTAATACACCTTTACACTTCTCACGGTACAATTTTTGAAGTTCAGAGTGGATCGCATTACTAATCATACGTCACATCACTAATTATACGTCACATCACTAATTATACATCATATGATCTGACCCCTAATAATCAGGGGTCCCCCGTTGTCGTGCAGCCCGTCGAAAGAAAAAATCAAAAACTGTGTCTGCTGAACTTAATGCTCACATGCGCATGCAATGCTTACAGATATCAAAGGAATGAATTTTCCATGCCATAACGTCATAAATTACATAAGTAATTGGGTGCAGTAACCAGAATTCAAGTTTAAGTCGACAATAAACAGTTGTTATTTCTAATATACCGTAGGTTGAGGATGTTACTTTCCAACTCTCTGCTGAACTAGATTGTCCGCTGAAAAATTGTGTTCGTGAACTATTTATAAAGGGTATTTCACATTTTCATAAGAATTACAAATTTTTAAATTTCCTTATGCATAATATGAATCCAAATATTTAAAGATATCACACCAAATATGACTCAAATAGGTTATCGATAAATTTTCTCAAGTTCGTGTAGAGACAATAAGATTTAAGATTGAAAAGATTCCGTGGATTGAGCTGATGAGATGGTTACTGCAGGCAGAGGATTGGAGATCTTTGCAGGCACCACAGAGAAGCTAGGTTCACCAAACTACATGAAACAATAAGTGTCTTGCAAATAAGTTGGCTTCAATCTAAGCAAGAACTTGTGAGACAGTAGTAATATTTTGAATGCAAATATTTTCCTTTTATCCAATGCAGATCAAAATGGTCATTATTAAGCTTCTCGCCGATACTGAAGTATAAGTCGGTACAGTAATCTACACATACCGTAATTATGCTGTTAGCGATAAACTATCAAATGCTGATATACTTCAACGTTGGAATGTTATCGAACCCAATTGTTTGTGCACCTGCGGATTGAAGATTTTGTACCTTGTTATCAAGGAACGACGATCTTATCTGAGCTCTAACAAAGTTGATGTTTTCGACATTGGTCATTTTTGATGTAATTAAACACCAGGCATTGAACAGGGCATGCACACCACAGTTTACAATGTCTTTCTGCTGTTCTGTTGTCACAATCCTTAGAGTCCTAGCCATTGGTTTCAACTGTTTGGCAGCTGATACAAGGGACTGATCGTATGCACCGATTTCGGCAAAATCTGTTGAATCGGCCTTTCCACGACCGTAAAAAGAGTCGTAGGCAAGCACACAATCAGGGTCTTTTTGATGCATGTTTGTAAACAGCACCCAATGATTGCCGTTCATGTTGACGATCTGGAAGAAAGTCCCCTCTAGAGGTGGCATACACCACTTTTCCTTAATCATGGTGTCTTGATTACTAATTGGAAGTTTCCGCCTAGATCTGTAGAGGTTTGCCAACATAAAGGAAAAACTGTTGATTATCGTACCATTCAGCTCAGATTTTGGGTTCTGTATTATCCGAGATTCTGACTGGTACATTTCTAACCTTCCAGAGCTTGAATCAGCTGTTAGCCACACACGAGATCCACCCCGTACCTCAGGCAACTTATCCAGGTCAATAAGAGGAGCGGTTGTGGCAGGTGCTGGATGCTTTCTTTTCCTCCTTTTCGGTTTCTTAACAGTATCCTTATACACAAGTTTATAGAGGATAAGTTGACTAGTCTTCTGTACATTCCGCATAAACACGTTCCTGGACACTGGTTTCCTCGTTCCGCCATCGAACATGATGTACTTGCCACTGTCAAATGTGAATGTCACATAGTGACCCAGAGCAACATGACCACAATAAGAAATACAGCTGATGATTCTGTATTGACTTTCTGTAAATTCGATATCAGAGGAAGCTAATCGCGAGGTGATTGATATCACCTCTTTTATACCACTGAAGGGAGCGTCATCCATACCACTGCTCTTTACAGTTCTTATCGGAGAGACGAACACAAAGTCTTTCATGCTTACGCTCTCACATAAGAAAGTCAGTTTGTTAAAGAGACTTTTCTCGTCCTCTGCTTGATAAATTTCGATTGACCGGTCAAATTTTACACAAACTTGATCTAGCAATGGGAAAATTAAGTCACCCATAACCTCCAGGACATCTTGCGGTTTGCCTGGAACATATTCCCGCTTTTCGTGTTTCAGCTTTCTTTCCCTCAGTCTTTCAAGACATGCCTGAGCAAATAAGAATTGTAGACGTTTATCATACTTTTGGGAACACATCATTCGGAAGAATGATTTTGCTTGTCCTAAAAAGTGATCTGGATATTGCTGACAGACCAAATTTTCAGCAATCACGAGATGTAATCCTACAGAGGATAGCATGTAAGCTATGGAATTAAGCCAACAGAAATTGCTGGATGCTGGATTCTGTAGCCTTACAACTTTCATCCACTCGTCATCCTTATCCCTGGCCTTGGTATTACGATGTTCCTCCCGCTCCCGCTTCTCTTTACCACATTCCTTCCAGCCCTCCTCATCATCATCTTCGTCACATTGCTTCCGCTTCTTCTCATCATCATGCTCTTCTTGCTCCTGCTTCCTCTCACCACGTTCCTTCTGCTCCTCATCATCACCACCATGCTCTTCTTGCTCCTGCTTCCTCTCACCACGTTCCTTCTGCTCCTCATCATCACCACCATGCTCTTCTTGCTCCTGCTTCCTCTCACCACGTTCCTTCTGCTCCTCCCCATCATCACCATGCTCTTCTTGCTCCTGCTTCCTCTCACCACGTTCCTTCTGCTCCTCCCCATCATCACCATGCTCTTCTTGCTCCTGCTTCCTCTCAACACGTTCCTTCTGCTCCTCCTCATCATAACCATGCTCATCCCGCTTCCGTTTCCTCTCGCCACGTCCCTTCTGCTCCTCCCCATCATCACCATACTCATCCCGCTTCCGTTTCCTCTCACCACGTCCCTTCTGCTCCTCCCCATCATCACCATACTCATCCCGCGTCCGTTTCCTCTCACCACGTTCCTTCTGCTCCTCCCCATCACCACCATGCTCTTCTTGCTCCTGCTTCCTCTCACCACGTTCCTTCTGCTCCTCATCATCACCACCATGCTCTTCTTGCTCCTGCTGCCTCTCACCACGTTCCTTCTGCTCCTCCCCATCATCACCATGCTCTTCTTGCTCCTGCTTCCTCTCACCACGTTCCTTCTGCTCCTCCCCATCATCACCATGCCCTTCTTGCTCCTGCTTCCTCTCACCACGTTCCTTCTGCTCCTCCCCATCATCACCATGCCCTTCTTGCTCCTGCTTCCACTCACCACGTTCTTTCCGCTCCTCATCATCACCACCCTGCTCTTCTTGCTCCTGCTTCCTCTCACCACGTTCCTTCTGCTCCTCCCCATCATCACCATGCTCTTCTTGCTCCTGCTTCCTCTCACCACGTTCCTTCTGCTCCTCCCCATCATCACCATGCTCTTCTTGCTCCTGCTTCCTCTCACCACGTTCCTTCTGCTCCTCCCCATCATCACCATGCTCTTCTTGCTCCTGCTTCCTCTCACCACGTTCCTTCTGCTCCTCCCCATCATCACCATGCTCTTCTTGCTCCTGCTTCCTCTCACCACGTTCCTTCTGCTCCTCCCCATCATCACCATGCTCTTCTTGCTCCTGCTTCCTCTCACCACGTTCCTTCTGCTCCTCCTCATCATAACCATGCTCATCCCGCTTCCGTTTCCTCTCACCACGTTCCTTTTCAGCTTTCTTCGTGGCGGATAGGCACGTACTTCTAAGGCTTTCCTCATCGACAAATTTTTGTGTGTCTAAACATATTTTAAGATTAGTTCTTAAAGCTTTTTGCATACTCCTTCTATTCTTTTCATTTATGTCCATATTCTCTATAGAGGTAAAGTACATTAGATACTTTACAAATCTGTCTTTTGACATCGAATTGAGAAAGTGGGCAAATTTCTTCGTCAAGGAATTCCGCTGTTCCTGAATTTCCAGGTTCTGTTTCAAGGCTTTCAGCTCCTGGACTGCATATGGGTCATGCAGAACAGCGTCAGCACCCCTGTGATTCGGTCTATGAAATGGGTCGATTAGGATATATTTATCATCCATTTCTTCCTCCAATAAACCGGGGATACTTATTATTTCACCGTTGAGAACCTTCTCAACGTTGGATTCTGTCTGAGGCAGGATTTTTCCTCCGTACGGGGTTAAAAAGCCCGGTTCAACGATATTGATGCAGATGTGTCTAGCCACCTGCGGTCCAAAGTCGATAATGATGACATTGGGAGCATTCTCAAATGACGTGAGCATTTGGCAGTAGTCAGATGCTCCCTCTGGACCGACTAGAATCTTCATGACATACACTACCCCATGCGTACAGAAGCCACGTGCAACACCACCTGATTTACCACCTAATTTGAAATACTTGGTGGCAAATTCGTCGTAGGGAACATTGGCTTCCACGATAGCCTCGATAAGCTCACTTCTGTTGTTAGGAAGTGGCTTAACACCACGTTCTTTGCACAGTTTCCTCAAGGTGACTTTGCTGTTCCCTCCGGTCTTCATGTCTTCCAGCACGTCATGATTGATGCTAAATGGCGTTTTAGCAACACCATAAGACGGCTTCCTCCGAGTGCTTTGGGGCTGGTTACCTGACACTACCGTTCTTTCGCCAAGAAGAGGCAGCCAGTCTCCACTCGCTTGCAGTGACATTTCCTCCTGGAGTCCTGAGTTCTTTGTAAGAGTACTAACAACATCGCCTTTGCGGACTTGGTGATAAAACTCCTTGCAATTCTTGAAAGTAGGGTCTGCTGAACTACGGGGTCGGTATTCTGTCTGAATTTTGAAGTTCACTTTACGTGTTGCATCAAAACACAGCAGTTTGGGCGTTATACCACAAATACCACATATCATGTGGAATGGGATTTTTTTGAGTGATAAATAAAAACCCATCAAATCGTACATAACATCATGGTTATATACCACATTAAAATCTCTCACCAATGCGCTAAGAACATCCATGAGTGAGGTGTGAGACAACTGTCGACTGAGGATTGCCTCCAACAGCCTTACACTGCAGACATGGCAGTTGTCTCGGTTGATCCATCCTGTTTTGTAATCCAAATGTTGGAAGGTGAGACTAGACACATTTTACACTCCTTTGTGTATATTGGCCTTGTCAATGAGCAGGAAGTGGTGCTGATTATCTTACACTCCCTGTTCAGCTTCCTAACTGTAAGACTACCACAGCATGAGGGACAGTCCACCTCACCTGGCATAAACTCCTCAGGCAAGGTCTCTTTGAGAGCAATGTCTTTGTGTTCTATCTTAACAGGCACTGATTTTTCCTTCAAAATGTACTCCACCAGAAACGTAACCCTGTTTCTTTCTTCAAGCTCCTCCGGCCTGTTATCCTCTGGACATGGAGCAAGGTCTTCTGACAACACTAAGAGGTCTGCATCAATCTGTTTCAGATACATTTTACTTATCATAATGTGGTCACAAGACCCACGACCAGGGCAAAGACAGGTAAACGACTTGTGCCCGACATTAAATGTTATGACAACCCGTTTAAAAACGGAATAACTGGAGTGGTCACTTGGCTCATAAACAGAAAAATACAGATAATTAGGTGGTTTATTTAATGTTTTGTCCTCAAATAGAACAACTAGGGGTGCTTGATTATCGTTTGCAGCCTTGCTCCATCTTTCAGATATTCTCTCTTTGAGTGCCTTACTGTAATTCATACCATCCAACAAATTTACGTCAAATGGTTCTTTGGACGGAAGTGCAGCTCCTTCAGTGGAGCGGAGGTGCTCACACATGTGAGATACTCGTGCGTTGTTATGGGCCACATTTCGAGCATCACGGCAGGAACGTTCATGACAGACAGCCTTGTAATCTCCTGACAGAGTGCTGTGCATAACATGCAGTGGAACACCAGAACCACTCTGCCCTTTTCGCACCATGAACACTTTGTTCCTAGCATCGACAAGCATACTCGCCCTTACATGAAGTGCATGCACGGTCGCAATGTGACGTGAAATGTAACCTGACTTAAACTTTTTCAGACAAATTGAACATTCAGTAGTTTGTGAAACCTCAACTAGATTATTTTTCGTTACTCCAGGTGTGATATTATTTGCATCAGTGAGGGGACCAGTTACATTGGATCCATCAACATCAGTGGGGACATCTTCGTCAGGATGAACGTTAGTAAAAGCAGATCCATCTGCATCAGTGGAAGGACCGGCTGAAGTTGATCCACCTACATCAATGGGGACATCTTGATCTTTCTGATGAACATTAGTTGAAGCAGAATTGGAACGTTGACACCGTCCGATATGGCTCTCCAACCGATTAAATGTTTTGTTAGAATAGAAACAAAACGGACAATGGTAATGATAGCTGTTAGGTCGAGTATTGTCAATGCAACATTTTTGGGTGCCTAGTCTACAAGCATTAAGGACTATTCCATTTACACTTCTTCGTTTTTTAATGTGATTTTTAACGTGAATGTTCAATGACTCACTCACGATTTCAATCCTGCAAAGAGAGCATGTTCCCTTTGCTATCAGGTCTCCTTCGCTGAGATTGTTGCAGGAAAGTAAAGACTTTACCAAATCGTCCATGGTAATCAACCTGAAAAATGATCATCAGGTTAAATAAGTCTTCCGACAGTTACATTTATTTGCTTCAGTTACTATATGAACCCGGCCTTCACAGCTGCCCCAGTTAAAAAGGGTATGAGTATTTACCCGCTGAGTTGAAACCCGCATTAGGTGAGCAATTCTATTCGGAGTGCCCTCACGTATCCAATAGTATAGATAACATAATCGCAAAATCAGTTCTTTCTCGTGGATAATTAAGTCATTATTAGGCACCACATTCCATGATCATAAGGTCCGTATACCCTGTACTCCTGTACCACGACTATTACACCTCATCAGTCATCAACCCCGTCTTGAACCGCTTTTCATTTTTATTTAAATCGTTTTAATTACGATTCATGTACCAACGCTACATATTACATAATATGCAGTAATAAGAGAGAGCGTGGAGTGAGAAAAAGAGAGCCATTTTATGTCACATTTGTGGTACAAAACTATCAATTAAACCACTTACCACCGACCAATTTGAAAAACCTCATTCATTTGGGTTCGTCAGAGTTTTGTCGAAACTATACCAAAAAAACTAGTCCGTATCTCTGACCGTTTTCTTGATTAAGCCGTTTGGAAATTACATGCGCACAGACAGACAGACATATACACAGACAGACACACACTTTCACACTTTGAGATTATTGTTTAAGATTGGACACGTTCATTTGAGTTTAGACCTTATTTTTGTGCCCGATATAATTATACTAAGCTGATGATATGTAGCTTGATTCGCATTTATTTCATAGTTAAGATAGTCGGATCGAGCCAAATTTTATTTGACTTCCCAATTATGACACCGTAATTGGGATCTCTGCACAATTTCCGTAATACGGATATAGCCTCAACCCAATCACCTGATCACACGTAATAAACAAACTCGTTATGCTTCATATCTCGGTCATCTGAGAAGCTACAACTCTAATTTCTTCAATACAAACGTAATAAAAATAGCCAAATACCATTCAATGAAATTTGGCTCGATCCGACGATCCAAAATATCAAATAAATGCGAAAATGAACATTCATTTGAAAAAATGAACAATTTGACAAATTCCTCGAACCAGTGGTGGTTATTTTAATCGGGCACTCAGTGACTGAGCTATTAAGGCCAACGTATGGGTACTGACTTCCCCCCCCCTGTATAATTAAAGCCAGGTTTGCACTTTTTAATATATTGTGTACCGAATATAAACCTGCCCTGTTTTGACACCGCCAGTAAAATAATGTTTTTGCGAATTTTACGTTCTACTCTCACGTTTCTCCGTTTCAAACTCTCCTGGTAACTTAAGTCGTAGATGCTTACAGTTGACAAACTCACACTCATGCGGCAAGTGAATATATATTTTGATCGTTTACATTAAAATATGTACATGAAACAATGAGCTCAAACATTGTTTGATAGCGGCCGGTTTTTTGTGGGTTACTCTATTATATTTATGTTATATAGTCAGTAATTTTGCCCTGTTCTGCATCTTAAACCAAAAGCAACATGATTGTCTCGTAAATTTTCTTAAATCCTCGAGGGACATTATATAATATATCGCACGTGCGATATAAAGTTCCACACACGAGGCTGCATTGATAATATTATATATATTTACTACCTTTGTGGAAGCCTTGTGATTTAGAATCCTGATCTGGTTACGTGTTATATGCTTATATGCTATCGGCGTTGCGATATTATTTTTGCAAGTTACTCTTAGGTATCACCACTCCCTCTTCTTCACTATCTTCACCATTTAAAGGTAGAACGCTATCAGCTGGGGACTGACTCCTAAGTTTCCAGACACATTTGGTTTGATAAGTGAAGTGCTTTCCCAAAATTCACAATTTAACTTAGTTATGACCCTTTTATTTCAACTTAGTTATGATACCTGTATCTATATAATATACAATTAATGATAATTAATTATATCTATATAAATCTATTTAAATAAAAATATATGTCCTAAAAATATTATAACTTAGTTATTTTGACTTAGTTTATTTGACTTAGATATAATGATCCTTTATTTTAAGATCTTGCAGATACGTAATCCAGCAATTAATAAGTGACATTTTCACTCAATCAATAGCCTGAATGGTTAGAGACTGCTTATAGGCTGCAATCAAAACTCTATAACGCGAATTTCTTCGGTTAAAAAAAAGTTACTACGTATCATCAGTATTCAGTGTTCACTCAAATTGATCAGATAGTCATTTGCCAACATGCTAAGTACCGCCTAATAAGGCCCATTATTGTATGCTAGCGAATAGCCTCCGATGAGATTACTGATTGGCTGATTATTTTATCGGGTGACGATCTGATTTTTGGGTCAGGGTTCGAATAACTGATAGAAATGGTGGACCTTATCAATTCTGATCCAGAATCGCCTTACAAAGGACCATGTGTTTAGAAAAGTTGTAGGCATCGAACTGCATATAATATATTATTTATTCGATTTATCTTAGCTTCTAGTGTAGAGTAGATTGTTACTCGAGCCTCAGTGAAAATCGTTTTATCTGGATTTTTCCCAAAAATTAACATTTTGGGTCTCTATGACCATCATGATAGTAATAAACAAGGGCATTGCGGTCATTTTAAGCCCAACAGTAAACTCGAACTCTAAGCACTTCAGGAGCTTAGAGAGAAATTTCTCATATACAGCATACGCATCTAATAAAAATGTGAAATATGGGTGTGGTCACACAGGGTCGGGTTGAAATTAGCCAAGCAGTTTATTAGATAAAATTTGGACGAAACTTGGCAATATTATATAGCAATAAACTTTGGCTGCTTACCTGATAGTAGCAGCAATGTCTTCAAAGAAACGTGTTAACTTCTGTTGTGTACATTACATGAATCTGCGAAATAAAGGTTATAATTTTATTTTTATTTTTTATCGTGAACTAAATACTGTGTTTCCCTGAAGGAGTCTAAATCAATTAAGAACTATCAAGGGGAATTAAATTAAATTATTGGAAACCAGGAACTAGAATTAAATATACTGAAATTAATTAAATTATTTGACATCAAGAAAGTTAAATAATGTGTTTCCCTGAAGAGGTCTTAATCAAATTAGAACCATCTTGGGGAATTAAATTAAATTATTGGAAACCAGGATCTAGAATTATTGGAAACCAGGAACTAGAATTAAATATACTGAAAGTAATCAAATTATTTAACATCAAGAACTAAATAATGTGTTTCCCTGAAGAGGTCTTATTCTTATCAGAACCATCTAGGGGAATTAAATTAGATTAAATTAAATTATTGGAAACCAGGAACTAGAATTAAATAGACTGAAAGTAATTAAATTATTTAACATCAAGAACTAAATAATGTGTTTCCCTGAAGAGGTCTTAATCAAATTAGAACCATCTTGGGGAATTAAATTAGATTAAATTAAATTATTGGAAACCAGGAACTAGAATTATTGGAAACCAGGAACTAGAATTAAATATACTGAAAGTAATTAAATTATTTAACATCAAGAACTAAATAATGTGTTTCCCTGAAGAGGTCTTATTCTAATCAGAACCATCTAGGGGAATTAAATGAGATTAAATTAAATTATTGGAAACCAGAAACTAAAACTAAATATACCAGTGAAATTAATTAAATTATTTGACATCAAGAACTAAATAATGTGTTTCCCTGAAGAGGTCTTAATCAAATTAGAACCATCTTGGGGAATTAAATCATTGGAAACCAGGAACTAGAATTAAATATACTGAAAGTAATTAAATTATTTAACATCAAGAACTAAATAATATGTTTCCCTGAAGAGGTCTTAATCAAATTAGAACCATTTGCATTAAGGGGAATTAAATTACATTATTGGAAACCAGGAACTAGAATTAAATATACTGAAAGTAATTAAATTATTTAACATCAAGAACTAAATAATGTGTTTCCCTGAAGAGGTCTTATTCTTATCAGAACCATCTAGGGGAATTAAATAAGATTAAATTAAATTATTTGAAACCAGGAACTATAATTAAATATACTGAAAGTAATTAAATTATTTAACATCAAGAACTAAATAATGTGTTTCCCTGAAGAGGTCTTAATCAAATTAGAACCATCTTGGGGAATTAAATTAAATTATTGGAAACCAGGATCTAGAATTATTGGAAACCAGGAACTAGAATTAAATATACTGAAAGTAATCAAATTATTTAACATCAAGAACTAAATAATGTGTTTCCCTGAAGAGGTCTTAATCAAATTAGAACCACCTTGGGGAATTAAATTAGATTAAATAAATTATTGGAAACTAGGAACTAGAATTAAATATACTGAAAGTAATTAAATTATTTAACATCAAGAACTAAATAATATGTTTCCCTGAAGAGGTCTTAATCAAATTAGAACCATTTGCACTAAGGGGAATTAAATTACATTATTGGAAACCAGGAACTAGAATTAAATATGCTGAAAGTAATTAAATTATTTAACATCAAGAACTAAATAATGTGTTTCCCTGAAGAGGTCTTATTCTAATCAGAACCATCTAGGGGAATTAAATTAGATTAAATTAAATTATTGGAAACCAGGAACTAAAACTAAATATACTGAAATTAATTAAATTATTTGACATCAAGAACTAAATAATGTGTTTCCCTGAAGAGGTCTTAATCAAATTAGAACCATCTTGGGGAATTAAATCATTGGAAACCAGGAACTAGAATTAAATATACTGAAAGTAATTAAATTATTTAACATCAAGAACTAAATAATATGTTTCCCTGAAGAGGTCTTAATCAAATTAGAACCATTTGCATTAAGGGGAATAAAATTACATTATTAGAAACCAGGAACTAGAATTAAATATACTGAAAGTAATTAAATTATTTAACATCAAGAACTAAATAATGTGTTTCCCTGAAGAGGTCTTATTCTTATCAGAACCATCTAGGGGAATTAAATTAGATTAAATTAAATTATTGGAAACCAGGAACTAGAATTAAATATACTGAAAGTAATTAAATTATTTAACATCAAGAACTAAATAATGTGTTTCCCTGAAGAGGTCTTAATCAAATTAGAACCATTTGCATTAAGGGGAATTAAATTACATTATTGGAAACCAGGAACTAGAATTAAATATACTGAAAGTAATTAAATTATTTAACATCAAGAACTAAATAATGTGTTTCCCTGAAGAGGTCTTAATCAAATTAGAACCATTTGCATTAAGGGGAATTAAATTACATTATTGGAAACCAGGAACTAGAATTAAATATGCTGAAAGTAATTAAATTATTTAACATCAAGAACTAAATAATGTGTTTCCCTGAAGAGGTCTTATTCTAATCAGAACCATCTAGGGGAATTAAATTAGATTAAATTAAATTATTGGAAACCAGGAACTAAAACTAAATATACTGAAATTAATTAAATTATTTGACATCAAGAACTAAATAATGTGTTTCCCTGAAGAGGTCTTAATCAAATTAGAACCATCTTGGGGAATTAAATCATTGGAAACCAGGAACTAGAATTAAATATACTGAAAGTAATTAAATTATTTAACATCAAGAACTAAATAATATGTTTCCCTGAAGAGGTCTTAATCAAATTAGAACCATTTGCATTAAGGGGAATAAAATTACATTATTAGAAACCAGGAACTAGAATTAAATATACTGAAAGTAATTAAATTATTTAACATCAAGAACTAAATAATGTGTTTCCCTGAAGAGGTCTTATTCTTATCAGAACCATCTAGGGGAATTAAATTAGATTAAATTAAATTATTGGAAACCAGGAACTAGAATTAAATATACTGAAAGTAATTAAATTATTTAACATCAAGAACTAAATAATATGTTTCCCTGAAGAGGTCTTAATCAAATTAGAACCATCTTGGGGAATTAAATTAGATTAAATTAAATTATTGGAAACCAGGAACTAGAATTATTGGAAACCAGGAGGCAGGAACTAGAACTAAATATACTGAAAGTTATAAAATTATTTAACATCAAGAACTAAATAATGTGTTTCCCTGAAGAGGTCTTAATCAAATTAGAACCATTTGCATTAAGGGGAATTAAATTACATTATTGGAAACCAGGAACTAGAATTAAATATACTGAAAGTAATTAAATTATTTAACATCAAGAACTAAATAATGTGTTTCCCTGAAGAGGTCTTAATCAAATTAGAACCATTTGCATTAAGGGGAATTAAATTACATTATTGGAAACCAGGAACTGGAATTAAATATACTGAAAGTAAATTAATTATTTAACATCAAGAACTAAATAATGTGTTTCCCTGAAGAGGTCTTATTCTTATCAGAACCATCTAGGGGAATTAAATTAGATTAAATTAAATTATTGGAAACCAGGAAGTAGAATTAAATATACTGAAAGTAATTAAATTATTTAACATCAAGAACTAAATAATGTGTTTCCCTGAAGAGGTCTTAATCAAATTAGAACCATCTTGGGGAATTAAATTAGATTAAATTAAATTATTGGAAACCAGGAACTAAAACTAAATATACTGAAATTAATTAAATTATTTGACATCAAGAACTAAATAATGTGTTTCCCTGAAGAGGTCTTAATCAAATTAGAACCATCTTGGGGAATTAAATCATTGGAAACCAGGAACTAGAATTAAATATACTGAAAGTAATTAAATTATTTAACATCAAGAACTAAATAATATGTTTCCCTGAAGAGGTCTTAATCAAATTAGAACCATTTGCATTAAGGGGAATAAAATTACATTATTAGAAACCAGGAACTAGAATTAAATATACTGAAAGTAATTAAATTATTTAACATCAAGAACTAAATAATGTGTTTCCCTGAAGAGGTCTTATTCTTATCAGAACCATCTAGGGGAATTAAATTAGATTAAATTAAATTATTGGAAACCAGGAACTAGAATTAAATATACTGAAAGTAATTAAATTATTTAACATCAAGAACTAAATAATGTGTTTCCCTGAAGAGGTCTTAATCAAATTAGAACCATCTTGGGGAATTAAATTAGATTAAATTAAATTATTGGAAACCAGGAACTAGAATTATTGGAAACCAGGAGGCAGGAACTAGAACTAAATATACTGAAAGTTATAAAATTATTTAACATCAAGAACTAAATAATGTGTTTCCCTGAAGAGGTCTTAATCAAATTAGAACCATTTGCATTAAGGGGAATTAAATTACATTATTGGAAACCAGGAACTAGAATTAAATATACTGAATTTGAAAGTAATTAAATTATTTAACATCAAGAACTAAATAAAATAATGTGTTTCCCTGAAGAGGTCTTAATCAAATTAGAACCATTTGCATTAAGGGGAATTAAATTACATTATTGGAAACCAGGAACTGGAATTAAATATACTGAAAGTAAATTAATTATTTAACATCAAGAACTAAATAATGTGTTTCCCTGAAGAGGTCTTATTCTAATCAGAACCATTTTGGGGAATTAAATTAGATTAAATTAAATTATTGGAAACCAGGAACTAAAATTAAATATACTGAAATTAATTAAATTATTTGGCATCAAGAACTCAGTAATATATAATATAATGTGTTCCCCTAAAAAGGTATAAATCAAATTAGAACCATTTAGGGGAATTAAATTAAATTATTGGAAATTAGGAACTAGAATTAAATATAATGAAAGTAATTAAATTATTTGACATCAAGAACTAAATAATGTGTTTCCCTGAAGATGTCTCAATCAAATTAAACATTTGCATTAAGGGGAATTAAATTACATTATTGGAAACCAGGAACTGGAATTAAATATACTGAAAGTAATTAAATTATTTAGGGACGCGGGCGCGCGCTTCTGCAAGCACAAGGACTTTGTTGATACATGTTTCGTATCCAAATATCAGCGGCGGCGCGCGCTT